AACGCGCTTTGCTCAACATTTTTTACAAGGGCTTGCTTCGTGTTGAGTTGTCCGGCTGTTATTTACGTAGTTAAATATCACATACACTTTTCCCCATAATTAAAGCACAGAAAAAATTACTAATCCAACAACGAGCTTTTAAGATCTCAGCAAAGAAAATTTGAAATCCATCAGTGAAGCCAAAACACTACTTAACTGAAAAAATAAAACCTCGAAAAATAACTTGGAAATATAAGATAAGAAATTCAAAATAACAAATGTAGTTGCGTTTTAAAAATATTGTTACATACCTAATTACTTAGAGTTAAGAGCAATACCGACATCTGTATCTACCTACAAAGAATGTACAGGTACATATTGAGTGAAACAAACTCAAAATATAACGTAAATTTGGGCTTAACTACAACGTTTTAGAAGTGTTGCGAGGTATTTGCAGTGTAATATGCACAGTGGAGTAACATTCTCAGTAGCTATATAGTAATTACCTACTTAGTTCTGGGTCTTAACTTGAGAAAATTGAAAATTATTAAAATTAGCGTCAACTAGGACAAGCTAAATAGCTTAACCGGCTACAGAGCTCGCTCGCGGCAAGAACCTAAACTTACTGTAATCTTCTGCGCTTCAAGTTTATGCATACCTAGTAGATTGTTTTGGCTTCAATGCCTTTCCGTAGTCCGGCCTAACAAAGCATATTTTGTTGATTGTGCCCAATGGTTTGAAATTAGAATTTAGTATCCGCCGTACTTCTTCGAGCCTAGTCAGTCATATCTAAGAAAAATAGATGGTGGCTCGGTTTTTGTCTTTGTGGGCCGACCCATCAGAGAAATTTATTTAGCTAGCATCAATTTGTATAAAATCAACTAAATAAATCCAAAAGTTATATTTTTTCTTTTTTTTTGCAACCAAAGGAAGAAGATATTGATCGAATCAATTGTATTTTACATTTTTTTTATATAGATATTATAGAAGATATATTAATAGCTAGTAGTCTTATAGAAGAGTAAACTCTTCGAGGCGTAATGCGTAAGAATACCGGTATCTCAAAGTTTACAATAGTATAACTTTTATCAGCGTTCTTAGACTCTACGTCCCACACACTAACGACACATTTTATCTAGCTAACTATATTCAATATAATATGTACCTCCGTCAGTATGATTTTTGCATGATTAGGTATATATTTAAAATCTTTATTTCAATGTACTTAAACCCCCCCCCCCCGGCCCGGGGGGCGCTACATTTTAATTTATTATATTTACTAGAACGTCTTTTCCTCGATATTTGCTCAACAGCCCGTTCCTTTTCCGCTATAATCTGTGACGCTTGCTCCGACGTCCCCTCAAATTCTTTCCGACCACTTATCCGGACCCCATTCGGGGGCATTGTTTGATCGATGTTGACATAAAATATCGCGTTCCCTTCGATCAATATTTAAGAAGATCTCCGCTATTTTGGTCTGTCTATCGTCGACGATAATTTCTATTATCTATGATTTACTTTCAGTTATCGTGAAATTTAAAGTGCTTAAGAGGTTGACGAAACAAAACATTTATTATACTATTTAATTTCAGTAAATAGAGATTTCTATACTGAAATTAAAAATAGCAGTATAAGTACTAGATATATATTATATGACTTTGTTATTTTAATGCAGCTTGTAACTAAGTTACTACCTAGTTACAGGTGGAAGTATGAATTACACCTGCAGGAAACCGTTTTTATTTATAAGTTGCTCATCCACTGATTACTAAATAACGTGTACATCAAAATACAATAAAAAGCTTTCCGTAAAATAAACTCCTTGTAGGTACTCCATATGTAAAAATAATCTTTCTGATTTAAGTAGAATTATCGATATAAAATTAAAATAAAGTGCTGAATTGGCGGCAATACGAAGATGGGCGGACTTTTTGGTCTTAAACTTTTCAGTAAACAAAATAAGCAAGTGCAGCCAGTACTTGCTTATAATGCTTGGTAATGATAATAAGTAGATACTATTTTAATGTGCAGTCGAATAAAAAAAAGAATGCTCACCGAAATCACATAACGGGTACACAACTTGAAATATACCAGAGCAGCATAAGTGTAGCGCAAGTCTATAGTTAGGTAGCGCTGGTACATGACGTCAAATGCATAGGGTTGACATCAAAATTAAGAAATACAACATACATATTATCAAAAAATTAAGTTAATTCTCATACACACATCTGTGTCTGTTTAACTAAATAATTTTATGTACGGAAATGTATATAAAATGAATGATCATGATAGTGGCAAATTAGTAAAGTACAGCACGATTCGAATCTACGTTACCGTAATTCATTGTGAAAGTGCATATTACTATATTAAAGTGTTTTTCTACAAAACCGTGAAAAGTGTGTTGCCGATGTAAACTAGTAAAAGATATATTGCAGGTATTAAGATAAGAATTGTGAAATAAAAATGGCTCTCGCCGTGTCAAATCCTTATCCCTTTTGACAGCTCTTTTCAAAGAGGCCATCGTCAGAACTACTGAACAGCGAAATTAACCCCAACTCTTTATTCAGCTTATTGATAGCCCTGTCACGTGTATCTGTACTCTGTAGGTTGTTACGTAGAGAGCACCGCGCGCCGACAAAATCACCTGGTCTCGTATTTTACGAGCAGCCCGTTGACGGCCGCCAGCGCTTCTAGTTTTCTCTAGTGATGTACTTCTGTAAGCGAATATTTATCGATATTGAATAAAATATTACTGCATTTTTTGTGTGTAAGTGATACTTATTCTGAAAATTGAAAAGCAATCGTTTGCTTTGCGTGACTGTTATTAGCACATTTTATATATAATAGAAATCTTTATCGACATAATATGTAATTCTTAACATAGATTAAATTGTTGAGCCAATATTGCAAGTGAATAATGGAATTATATATAAGAACATACTAACATTAAAATACGTTCTATCAGTTGATACAATGAGTTCATTATAGACATGTAGTAAGCAATCGTTAGCTTTAAATCACCGATATTTTACAAATCATACAAGTTATGCAACTAACGTAAATTAGATTCCTTGATTTTCTAAAAACACCTCTTAACATTATCGACAAAAATACTGAACTACAGGCCAACACTAGTCGAGCACACTCAAGTGGGCCCGCGCCCGGGAGAGGCGAAAGGCGATGGAATTAAATCGCACGCACGACACTTCCGCCCTTCCCCTTCACCTCCCACACCCACAACGATATAATCGCTAGGGCTGTGAACTTGTGCGATATGAAACTTTAATCGTATCGATTTTTACTATAAACGTGCACTTTGTTAGTATTGCATTTAGTTTTCTATAATTTTATTACGTCGTATATCCAAATTTCAATGTGTACTCTATATTGTAAGCACGTGAAATTTCTTTGTAAAATTTGGGCGACTTCATTTGGGGGATACTGACAGGGATAAGGACAAACAGAACATTTGTAAAATAATGCTATTACACTACTAACTTTAAACGACTATTAAAAGTATATAATTTATGAGAATCTTAACATTTCCATAGTTATATTTCGTATGACTTTAATTAGGAGTTTAATCTACTCGATGACAGGCGGCAGCCCTATACGTGTCAGCTTGACGAGGGATAGCTCGACTGGTTTGACTGATGTTCAAGTCACATGTGTGACTTCGCTGTCTCCTTCACGCTTCGTCTAATAAGCGTGTACTAAGGCATATAGTAGTCGATTGGATACCATTCAATACTTGCACCAAAAGAGTAATCGTTTCAGACTTGTGAACGCGAGTTCATATTGAAGAATATACTCGTACTTGATATATTCGTCGAGTGGATAGATTTATATTAAGAACCCATATTAACGTATACCTTCGATTTATTAAGTCCTGGTACATTATTTTATGGCAGGACACAAGCACAAGATTTAAATAGAAGATGATAATAGTCATGTGTCAACATGAGCTGTTGACCTTTTTTGGCCTTGGACATTCAGTAATCCACAGACTGACACCAAAACGCGAACTTCCCAAGTTAAACTTCACGGGTTTTTTAATCTGTGGTAGTAGTTTGTGACTCGGAGGAATTTATATAGCTTTTAGCGTTTAATATTTACATTTTCCAAGGAATGTCCATGTTTCAGAAAAAAACGTATAAATTGAACACGTGTAGGGATCGAACCACTTTATCTTATAACTATACTGCAAAGGACATGGAATACGGTTATATTAAGTAACAATTTTTGAACCAAAGCAGACGATACTAAATCATAAAACATATAGCTCTATTAGAAAAATAAATATCAAAATGTGTTTTTATCTACTTAAATATTTTTTGAACAATATCTAATTTTACTTATTTTTACGATGGTTTAGTTACGCACGTGCCTTCTTATAATTTTATCGATGTACATAAATTACGCTTTTTAATACTACAAAGTATTCCTTGTGTTCTGATCCGGGTCAACGAGAATATCGTACAGTTAAGTTCGCGAAGGAAGTCTGCTCGTTAAGTGGCAACCCTACGCATGTCGGCCCACGGCCGGGCGGGGATCGAAAGCGCGCGCCGGGACAGCTGCCTGATTAATGCGCGGCAAACCGGCCTAGGGACGTGCAATATTTATGTCGATATATCGATGATCTATCGTCGTTATTTATTGTATGGCTGTGTAGCTTTTATGTTAATTGCTTGTATGGCAGGCTTTTTGGTCTAATGGGTGAGTTCAATCCCCATATTGGATGTATTAGAAATATCAATTCTAGATTTTTCTAAGACATCTTACAAAGTTCTTTAGTAAGTAGAAAGGCCGTATGTCGCTAAAATAGATCGACAGCGCGTCTTGTTTAAATAATACATACCGGGGGTATTTCGTTATCCCTTTAGGGAACTCCATACTTGTCTGTCCTCTGTCATAAAAAAAAAATGAATCTATGACGAAATATAAATTGCATATTTGTAAGTACAATTACAAAATATATAAAATTTAAATACGTATTAGCTATTATATTTAATTACATTAATATGGTGAGTTAAAATAACTAGGTGACCATAATAAATGCTTTTATCGATATCGGTACATTTATTATTAATCCCTTTTTTACTCGGTGGGAGATTGTAGTGATGAGGCGACATGACGCGGCACTGTGCTCGGCCGACTCATTATCGGCTCGCTCACCCAGAAACGTCGATATTGTGTTAAATACATCACTATATATAGTACGATGTTTATAGAATATACGAAGTGAAGTGATTTCGACTGAAACTTGATGTTCTTCGAACATAAGACGTCTATATGCATTAAATGTATCATATACAAAACTAAACTCCACAGACTTAAAACGGACATAAATCTGTGGAATTTGTTTTCTTATTAAAAATTATGTTTATATGATAAACAACTCAATAACTACAATCTATAAAAATATCTATAGCTTTTTAGACCCAAATTCGTAAATGAAGCCACGACGTAGGTTAAATTAACCCTAAAAGAACTCAATAACATAAGAACATTCTTTATTCTAATAATTCCTTTGCGTTAAAGATATCTCTGGTATCTAGAGAATAATGCAAAGCTTTTCATGAAGTAGGTACCCTTTTTATGACAGAGGAGACAGACATCATTTGATGGTAGGTGAAACACTAGACATAATATGAGGCCCTAGAGGGCTAAGAAGCTGCAGAATATTCATATTTTAATACTCTAGTTTTTTTACCAAAAAACCAAGGGCCCAAAAATTTTTATATTTTTTTTTTAAAAATATTATAACCCCCCCTTTTTTTTTTCTTTTTCCTACGTAAACTGCAATTTTTGACCTTGAATTATTCATATTTTAATAGGCCACTCTGCCTCTAGCAGCCTCATATAACATTTGAACAAGATGTATATAAGTATAGTCTGACCTTGTGGTCAGTGACGTAATTTCTCTGCGTCGGTATTTGTCAAAAATCGAAGCATCCTTTCCTCGAATGAAATGAGATCGGCTGAGTCTGAATTCGGATATCTCGTACAATTTACTTTTATTCGGCGTCGCGTCGAGTTCGTGGCACACCCGTGCTAATTGGGAAGCTAGTGATGTGCGCTTGCGGGATTTGCGACATTATTTTATAAATTTGATCCACACAATTACATAATTAACGCTTCATAAATTATTACCAATGAAATGTTAAAAATACGTCTTATAAAGAGCACGTATTTATAGTAAATATTTTTTTTTATAAAACTCTCTCTCTATACAGACTTAGTTGGGTCACGAAACGCGAGTGGTGCGATTTTGAAATAATTAATATATATCGGTAATGCTTAGTTAAAGTTGTTTTAAAGTAGTTTGATTTCTCAAGTAAATAGTTTTTTAACTGAAATGACCTAACATAAGATTTTACTTGTAACACTGACTTTATAAGAAAAAGAAACCATGTTCAGTATTAGTATCCAAAGTCAAACATAGGGCGACAGCACATCTTGTTAAGTTGTTATATGGCTGTGGTATTTCAAATACCACCAAGTAAATAAAAAAACGAGTTAATAGTTTTGTTTAGGTCCCTCAATGCTATTTGCTTACAATGCAACGTAATAAGCACAGCACTAGAACCCGCGAAGTAATTTCTGCGGCCATTAGTCCTGAACTCCGCCCCGGGCCCGCCCATATGCGACCGGAGGCCTTCATGGGACTAATTACAGGCTGAGCCTTTTTCTAAGCTGCCATTCTTTGTTAGAAAATGTTTGCCGCTTCACCTTTGCGTAGGATCGCATTTGCTTTTAATAATATTTAATCCGTTCATATCGATAATAGTTAGGGACTGTAAACGGACGGGGGGTACTTTATACATGTTGGTTGAAATAAGTATAAATAAATTTGCTGACAGATTAAAAAATTTAATGTACCTACGTTTAAATATAGGTATAATGTTATATAATTTATATAAATAATCATATTTTTTGTTTTTAGTTAACTAGTTCGAAGATTTTGTTTTTATAATTCCTGATTTTGACTGTAAATGGTGGTGTACTACCGCCATCTATCTGTGAAAAGAGAAATTTGTACTATGAAATATTTCTATTGAACTCTAGATGGCGCTTTATTTTACTTAATGTATTTCTATTATTATACTTATAGTATTCACGTAGTTTACTATGATTGTTACAGAATGCACCTAATCAAGAACCTGTATACAGAAAAGTTGCGGTAGTAGAAAATTTCTTTGACATTATTTACACGGTTCATGTAGAACTTGAAGGAAGACCGGGAAAACATGCAGGACAGAAACGCACATATAGAACGGTAAGTAGTGTAACTTCTATAGTATGAATTCTATCTCATTTAGAGTTCTATGCCAGATTTTAGATCACATTAAATAATGTTTATAACGACTATAATTTACTCAAAAAATCGTAACCATATTTGTCGTATCGTATATTTTAAGAAGTATTGATTTTAATGCCATCTAGGGGTAGTAAAAGTCACTACGATCTGAAACCGACCGATATTAAAATGGCAGACTGGTGGTGTCTTCTCATTTCACAGATAGCGCTTTAAGATAAAAAGTCATATCAATTAGTTCATAAGATGGATTTCAATATTAAGCACAATAAGAAATCAAAATTAAAAACTACCCTTATACCTTAATCTACTTTCGTAGTCCGGGAAGATTGGTACGTGACTTGCTTGTTTAACCGTTTTTGTTTTATTGTTTGCAGATAACAGAAACTTACGCGTTTCTACCCCGGGAAGCGGTAACGCGATTCCTAACCGGATGCGCAGAATGTGCGCGGCGTCCCCGTAGTGCATCGCCGCCTCCTTTACCGACACCATCACCATCACCAACCAGACACCCTCCATATCTACCATTTCTACCCCACTGCCCTCCAGAATACGCCAGAAACTGGGAATCCGAGATAGACGCCGCGCAGAACTACTCATTCGAACCAAAATACGATTACACAGATCTGCAACCCCTTAAAAAAGTAGAAAGCCCGCGGCCAGCTGACGTAGAAGATGAACCAACATACATCGAACTGACATCCAAAAAAGTTAATGGCTATGAATCGTCTGCGTTTAAGCGGAGTCCTTCCGTAGAGCCGTTCAGAGAAACTGAGCCATTACGGACCGACCCGGAAATCGACAAAGACGATAGCCTAATCGACGTCGAAGATGTGAAACCGGACAGTCCGCCTCCATTGAAAAAGGATGAAAAAGAAGAGTCCAATGAAAGTACCAGGGCCGCAGAGAACGAAAGCGATAGAGTTAAGAAGTATAATCCGTTAGATGTCGCCAATTTGACGTCTAGGGATCCGCCAAAGTCGTCACCGCCTCGGAAGAAGCTGTTGCCATCGACTTCAGAGACCTGCAGCACGTTTGGCACGCTACCAAAGCCGTGGAGGCCGGATGGAGGCTTGTACTACAGCGACGACGTCGACTATAGTGTACCGATAACAACGGCGTACTTGAAGCACATGAAGAGTTTGTCTTATCAAGAGCGCTTGGACGGCGAAAATAAGGTGAGTTTTAGTTCTAACAACTTATTAGCCTTGGTCTCTGGTTTAATAGAACAATTAAAAAACCAATAGAATTTAAGTAATTAAAATACATATTTATTTAGAAAGAAGGAAACAAAAACCTAAAAATAACTACTTTAAATAACTTCTATACAAAATACAAGGTTTATAATAAGACAAGTAATTCCTATCACTTATTTTTAGATAGACAGTGAAGTAGCGTGAAACTTAAGTTTATTTATTTAAGAATTTTTATAAGTATGTACAAGTTTTGTAAACGAGCTTTTAAAGCTTTATTAAAAAAAACAAAAAAGCACACATGCCTCCCACACAGATCTATCTAATAAGTAAACTGGAAATTCGTTCCGCAGCTTAACCGCAAAATGTATTTTTCGTTATGAATCGAGGGAAATTCGGGAGCCAAAAGTTTCGATCCATGCCACAAGCACGCCTTTGTTCAAATTATTTTAATATCTGGATATATTGTAATGCGTTTGTTTTTCATACAATTACTAGATGTTAAATTTTCCACGATATTACAGTTTGTTTATATATAAACTCGCTGTGAAATGTTATATTAATATTATTCGGGATTCTTTAATTCAAGTTCAAACTACCTTAGGTACACGGTTAAACACTGTTTTTCCTAATAACACCGTTGAAAAAACAAGGTGGCAAAAAAGTTGGGTGCCTTAGTGACTCGTCGCGGTATAGTAAAAATATTTTACCAATATAATTCTTAACTTTTAAAGTGTTATATTGAGCGTATATATGTACAACTCTCTTCATAAAATAGCCTTATTTCCAAACCAAACTTTTTACTTTGTCTAATTTTAAGTTATTATATTATCAATATGATTGTAAAAGTTATATAAAGTTGACAAGTGCCCGTTAGTTATTACGCACTATATTGTAAGAGCTAGTTCATACATGCCTACTTAAAAAAAACAACAGGCAACCGTGTAACGCCGCTCGGGGTACTTGCGACCGATTGATTCGGAATTCAGACGAATCGCTCACACAAAGGGATGTTACGCTATAATCGGGCGCCGCATCTTTTCTAACTCATTTTTCTCGCTTGAGGCGAGGCGGTGGGAGGGTTTCATCAGCCGGGGGGCGTCACGGTATTAGACAAGACACAAAAACGATGCCCGACGGAAAAGTGAGCAAGCACACTTTCTGATGACGCTTTTTTGCGATAGCTCGCTGGAATAATGTTTGCGATCGATTCGCTATTTAGCTAAGTGTGCTGTGCGGAGATGTTGACTTTGCGTTTGGCTCGAGTTTACGGTCTACGTGTTTGTTCAGTTCACTATGGTATCATAACTAAACGCAGTGAATTGTAAAGAAGATTTTTACTGATGTCACCTCAGATACATTGAGTGCAAATGTATATGTCTAGAATACAAACCCAACTGTAAATTATTTCGCATTTTAAATATTTTATTGTGTATTGCTACTAAGTATGCCACCAAAGTAAAGCAAACATACATATATGTGTTCTCATATCGGTGAATAAGGTATAACTTTATTTTAACTTCCATAGTTTTATAACGATGAAATTAAAAAAAAGAACGATAAAGGTACCTACAACAAAGAGGTAAACTTTAAAAAGCAACAATAACGCGCAATTACATTAAAATACTATGATAGGACGCTCATAAACGCTACATTAATCACATAAAACCCCCTAATATCTGCAAAAGTTTCGGTCGGACCTTTTCCATGTGGACCGGGGTGGGTCAGTTGGACCGGGGGGTCAGCGAGACCGTTAGAGGGTCCCTGCGACCTCCGAAAGTGCCTCTCCCCAGCCCGCGTAGCGACTTGTAAGATTGATTGGGGCTCCTTCAGTCCATTGCCGACCCCCTCGTTGGGATATTCGACCCTGCCTCCCTTTTTTCTCGGATACTAATCCTCGGAATTATGTGTTCTAGATAAGACTGGCGGCGATATATTCGTCTGACTCAGGGAAGCAAAAGATAAGACGATAACAAGTGACAGTAGTCAATGAAAATAATATTTTGAATTTCGTTCTAGTTAAACAATACTATTATTTTCCTAACAATTGTAAGATACAAAACGCAAGCAAACTTTGTGTGTATTAAAAAGTTTAGTAATCTTATATTTTTAATACAATATATATTCAATAAGTAAAAAATATATATCACATTAATATGTGACATATATGTTAGATTGCAAATGCAACACGTTCTTGTAACTGTTGTAAATGTTGTTTTGTGTTTGTCGTAATGTTGTATCCATATTACAAATATCCAATGGATACTTCAACACACTTTACATAATTTAAAAACATCGAAAATAAATTAAAAAAATTTCCCCCCCCCCCCCGGCCCTCCCCCGGGCATCGTCAGCTTTCCGTGCTGTTGCTCTACTAATTGAGCTACCGAGACCTAAACCTCATCGTCGAATTTTTCCCTACTTATGATACATGCACCTCTCGCGCAAAAAAAAATCAATTTATTTTCGATTTTTAAATTATATAGTGCCTTCATCAATAACATGTGAAAAATATTAATGTTTTCAAATACTACTTTACATTTCAAATCACTCAGTTGAGAAACTAATATATACTTAGATTGTCATTTCTACCTCTTCTATTAGGTGTATATCTCTGTCCACCCCGGCACGAGAGGGGCTGTTAATAACACAACGGACTATTTTATTCGTCGGCCGCCACTTGCGGTCCGTGCGACTGCTTTGATGTCAGAGATTAGAAGTTTGTTTAGTTCGGCCGCAGTGTGTTGTTGTATCTTTTTGACCGAAATATTATAATATAACTGCTTGTAACTTCAGAGTTATCTAGTAGCATACTACATAAATGTGCTAAGTTTGTTTTTGTTCTGCATTAAAAATACTAAAGTAAGTGTATTTTTATGAAATAACATATTTTAGTTATTCGAAAGCCCCTAAGTTCGAATACCGGAGAAAGATAATAAGAACACAATTGATTAACTTAAAATAAATACAAGTAAATGAAAATGACAAATAAAACGTGCACGACGATGTATCTTTATTTTTACAATTATTTATGTGTAGGTTGTTGTAAATAAGTGTTATATTCTCTTAGAAAGGGGTCAGATCTTAATTTTTTCATAATAAACAAATTTAAACTTGATACGAATCACACTCTTGCCCTTGAAACGAAATCATATTTCGTCCCTCACGATCGATGCTAACAAGGGGTCCTTTCTACCCCTTAGTTACTTGCACTATTCAAAATCGAATATGTCATGACAATGTTATTAAAATCGTTTGGTGATTGATTTGATTGTATATCTACCAAAATCATTTTTAGTAAAGATTGTTTGTTTTTTTTAATTCATCTTTTAATATATTGGAATTATATTACAAGATTGTATTGTATAATGTCCATCTTTGTTCTTAGGGGTTTTTAACAGCAAACAAAACTCTTGTGAATCAAAGATTCGCTACAGTAAAGAAAGAGACGTAATTTTCCTAAAATATACTTCGACTAATGTTAGACTACTCTAAGCTCGGTAAGTCTCATAGGATTGCTTAGCGCTATGCGGGTGCGTGCCAAATCCGACCACGAAGTAAAATTAACCCTGCGAGAGATGGAGTATATCTATAAAAAACATTTAAAAAATGTCGTTTCATCTTGTTTCCGAAGGACAGACAAATTAATAAAACAACTTTTTCGTACAAAATGCCTGTGAATTATGGAGTCAATTAGATTTCAAACCGTTTTTTATATGCTTATTTGCCTGATTTTGTACAAGCGTTAGATGCACTTATACATACGGCTTGTAATTTAAGAGGTAATCTGAATGGTTTAACATTTTAGGATAAATGACTACTACTTGAGCTAACCCCGACTTAACTGCATCAAAGATATATGCAGAGTCGAGAGCTTTTAAGCAAAAACGCTTTTACTTTCTGAAAGGAATTGCCAAGTTTTAGACTTTCCATAAAAAAGGCACATAAGGCGTAAAATACAGCTTACAGGGGTGTAAAACCTCCCTGGTATCCAAACCGTCGTTACCAGGCGAGCATAGTGTACTGAGAATTTTAACAGAATTAGTGTGGAGTCCCGCCTGCAGGGCGCCGCAGTAATTCACGTAGCCACCCACCTCCTTGCTACATATTAGCGCCTGGTAGCTCGCTAGCGAGGTGTCTACACGCAACGGGATTAACCAACCGAAAATAATGCCAACTGGTGGGGAAGGGGAAGAGACGGGTACCTATTTTTGAAAGTCGAAAGGGAGGGAAGGTAAAAATTTATTAAATATACATATATACGAATTGTTTTTGTTGACATTTTTTACCAATAATTTTATAAATTGGTGAAAAAAGCCGTTAAGGTTCTTTAGACCTAATTTCAGCAAAAAATAATGGCAAATTTAGGCCCATCAATGCTGACTTAAACTGTCAACCGCATATAGGGATTCAGTTTAACGAAATATAATTGTAAACTTGTTGTACTTGGGTCATTGCCCCACTTAGAAATCCCTTAGAGTTTAGACCCTCGACTATCATTAGTTTTCAGGGAAAAAATTGTTTTATTGAAAGACGTTAGAATCAATCAACGCATGTAACAGTAGTAGCAAGTGGGGAGCAGGAAGGGAGAAAAACCATAGAGTTACGTAGGGTGACATGTCACGAAGGGTCAACCGACCGCTTGGACGTATATTGTGTTTTACCAAGTTACAAAAAGGATTTTTAACTTTATTTAACTTCTTATTTTCACAAGCAAAATATTTATATTTTTTATCATAAACGATCTTATTTATAGTGAATATTACCGTGTATTCTAATTGTATATATTACTTAGAAGCTTTTAGTAAAAATTAATCATTAATATTATAATAATAGCTAGTTTCAATCTTAATGCGAATATTATATTTAAATTTTGTGTATGCATCAAGGTCGTATTTTGCCCGTAGCCGGATAATCGGTTTAACCCTCTCTCAAAACCGAAGGCAGTTAAGAAAGTTCAAAGATATCAACTCATTTGACACCTGTTGTCGCGTTGTAGTTAAATTATTTATTGAAATATGTAAATAGACAATAGAAATACATAAATGACACAC